TTCTCTTTCCGCTCGCTCGGTGATTGTGTTGAAGCCAGGTTTTTACTAACAATGAACTAACACAAACGATAAAAACCTATATCTACATATTTCAATCTAACATCCCTCACTTCCGAAGCATGCAGAGCAGCAAATGATGAGAATTTCTCTATAACTTGCCAACTTTCCATAACAGAACTAACAGTCTGACGAAAATATTAAGTAACCACGTGCAAATAAGCAATGAACATATACAGCATTCAGTTCTAAAAGTCATTATAAGGTTCTTTTAGACATATGTGGCTTGCTATTTGAAAAAATAATAACAACAGTTTTTTCGATGAAACAAGGTACCTTGCTAAACCGGGCTTCTTCAAAACAACAAGAAGATCAACTGTTTCAGACCACTTTAATTTTTGGCAAGATATCATTAAGAACACGACTGAGCTGTGCGATGTAAAACAATCTTCTTTATACCAATCAAGTTTTGCATGTGATCGATCGATCTTTCTTTGACCCAAATGTCACAAACTAATATTGGGGACAGTGCTACTGTATGAGCAAATTCCTTCAAACGAAGACATGGTGGATTGATTCATAAGCCCAAGTTATCTATAGCTTTCCCTGTTTTGTTTCCCAGAGAAGAAAGCCGCTTTGTTAACGCCCAACTTAATGTTCTACAGAGACAAAAGGAACACTTACAAATGTCTGTTTGGAAAACAGAAAAACATGATGTTGCACTTTCTATTTATAAGTCGTTTGACGTCAGATCACACCCAGATAAACAGAAAGGTCTTGTTTTTTTTTACAATAGATCACGGCTTCTAAGAGAGGTGTGTATAATAAGTACCTCTGTAAGCAATATGACTGTTTTGCAGAGCTATAAAATATGTCACGAAACAGGTCTATCGATTTAAAGATGTCGTCTGATGTTATGCAAAATAATCACAAATTATGCTTTTGCAGAGCATTAAATGAAACTTATAGATGTTATGTTAGTTTGGCTAGTTAGAGTTTGGTTAGCAGTAAGGTTATTGTTCAAAGCCGCACCATAATTTAAGACAGAGATGTGAACTCCTGTTTCTAAGTTGATACGACTGCCACGCCTTAAACTTATCAAACAAATCTGATGTACAGAAGACAAAGGATTTCAGTGGAAAGGAGCTTACTAGCACAATATCCCATGCAAAAATACTCAAAGATCAACATAGCTGCCGTAATTTCTTCCGCCATGCACACCTTAAAACCGATACAATAAGCCCATTGAGAAAGTAATGACGCTAGTACCACAGCCTCAATGACAATTTGCCACCCACTCAAAGACTACATTCATAGTAGAAGATATAATGCAATTAGATAAAAGTTCTAGAGTGTTGGATTAACCAATCAATTGCTTATCCAACTATTATTAGACGTGTGAAGTTGTTTTGTGCATTCTTGTCTCCCTGGATTCTGTTGTAACCTGTTTTACTTGGTTGATCAATCGTAGAAAGATTCTAGCCGGATGCAAATTCTACAAAGACGGGGTCGCCGCGGAAACCAATTGTTTGTCCAGTAGAGAACTTCCTGCTGGCCAGTGAACAATAAAGTGAACTCACTATCAAGCAGCTAAATAAAACTTATTTCAAGCGATGGTTTTCTGAGGCAAGATGATTTGTTTATATCAACTGAGTTGATAATTTAAATTGGCCAATGTAAAGAGTTTCTTAAACTGACGTTTCGAGCATTAGCTCCTTGTTATAACAAACATTTTTCTCTAGTAGTTCCCACGACTTTGTAAGAAACCTTGTATCAAACAACTGAGTCTAACAAAATCTAAACGGTACCAATATTATTTGTACTTTATTGAAGTCTCTAGCTTTCAACCCATTGCTTTTCCTTTGAAATATAGCTGCTAAGATTTGCCTCGTTTCACGACCTCGAATGAAATGAGTCGAACCTTTTGTCATGAAAACAGCACCGGTGATATTTCAGTATTAGACAAAATCACTTCTTAAAGGAAATTATTTTTACCATTGAGAGGCCAAATATGGGTTTTATCTTTCTATCACTCTTTCAGCGATGGAGTACAACATGACAAGACAAAATCAAACAAAAGAAATAAGAAAAAAGGCTAACCACAAACGAATTAGTCGTCATTGTAATATCGCCGGAACTTAGAGCACGAAATTTAGCGCCGAATAAACTAGATGGATGAAGATCGAGAGACCTTGTCAAAGAAGTAATCTTGACCCGATCTTTATCAGTAATTTTCTCCTGTAAAGTTGATTTGCTTTTTTTCTGTCTGAAATTTCTCGGACATTCCTAATTGGGAGGAAAAATTTAACACTGTCTGTGGACCGCTGAGATTCACGAGCGAGGCATTTCCGAGGTGGTTAATCTGCAAATGCGATCACGAAACCCTTGACTTAACTGTCTTAAAAACGGTTGAGTACGGTCATAAGAATGTTAAAAACTGCATTTGACGCGCTGAATAAATCACGAACCGTTAAAATGATAGGAAATTTGAGGTTTGGAACAGGTTGGAGACGTAATGCTAACTGTGACGAAATTTAAAACACAGTATGTGTTGACCTCACATCATTCCAACGTAAACGAACGAAAACAAACCTTTAAGTGTATCTAAATTCGAATTTAATCTCATATAAATGTTTAAAATAACCATTCGCCTTTATTATTGATGTAATTATCGATGAAAGAAAAAAGCATGTAGTTGAAATAACAACCTGAAGTATATGAACTGCCGAGACTGCTCAAGGTTAACACGCTTTCTTCAGGACACTTGTGCGAGCCCTATAGAGTCCGGAACAATGGCTTCCCTCGCAGACAGAGACTCGGTCAAGCCTGATCGACATATCAATAATTCCATTTAAAATGTTTACAATTGCTTAGGCGTGATGCGTCTACACGGAAATGACGCCTCCAAAGTAAGCCAGAAGCGAAATTGATGACAATATCAATTTTGAAATGAAAGAGGCGTTGTGCCACATTTCCGATGTGAATTCGGTACAAGACTTCTTGCACCTCTTATGAGCCTAAAACCGTTTTTTAGTAATTTATACTAACAAATCAAACCATGCTAAAAACTTCAAAAACTAAAAAGTCCAACAGAGTATACTTTCTTGGCAAAACTTGATAAAGAAACTGATATTATTTTAATGAGGTGTACAGTTTATGTAGTAAATTCTAAAGCAAATCTTTATAAAGGCCCATGTCCTTAAAGTGCGTCATCGACCTCTGTAGAAAGGGACGATGACTAACAGTCCTGTTAAAGCAAAGCTTTAAAATGTTATTTTTACAAAAATGTTTAAGATTCATTCTACTATCAGCTTTCTAGCACAAATGTACAATATGATATTATTTTGTTTTTTTAAAGTTGATTTGGCTTTGTAAATATAAATTTAATTCAAACGCTTGCTTGAATTTTGAACTTTTCTTAAGCATTCGTATATTCTACCTTATTTCAAATAAAAAACCTTAAAACTTGATGAGTAATTTTTGTCAATATTTTCTCGATTAAACAGTTATCCTCACCTACTTCAGTCGATCTGCTTTCTTAAATAAGAGGCCCTCTCTAATTGCCACGATGTATTTCTTCTGTATTCGCACATTTTCCGGTCGGGAAAATTTTGACTATTCTCGATGGAACTTTCAGTCACTTTTGTTGCTGTCTTCAAAAATTTCAGCATTGATTGCTGTTGTATGAAAAAAGAACTATTTTCAGAGTTATTACCATCGAAATACACCAATGTGTTCATATTAAATTAGTTATGACCTAAATCTTAAAATTTTTTGAAACATCGTTGCTATAGCATTTCACCACAAAATGTGCCAGGTGCTTTACCAATCGCGCGATTTTAATTTCTAACTAAATTTCTTTTAATGTGCTATTTTCAACAGTTTTAACCAGCTTAGACGGCGAGAAGTTATTATCACTTTCAGAAGCAAGGATATTCAATTAAATTGTGTTAGGTTTGTTCCCTTGTTTGGTACTATGCAAGATTGGGTGAAAAATGAGACAACTTCGTCGCTCTCTAACTTATGTAATTATCAAAGTTTTCTCATCCGCAACTCGTCCTTGGCCATAAATTCGCCTCTGATGCGGTCTTATTTCTTCAAAATGCAAAGAGCAACGTATTTTCTAAAGAATACACTACTTCTCCCTATTTTTGGCTTTCAGTTTTTAAAAGCTCTAATTTTACCGTAATAAAGCCAGCTTTGTTAAAAGAACTAAAACAAAGGTTACGTTGTCGATTGAAACAAGGTGCAACTCGTCACGCGCACAACATGCTCTAGTTAGACAAGCGATATTTTTAGGGGCGCTCTTTGCGCGAATGACGTCAGAGGAAGTACTTTTGACGGGTTTTAACTAAGAACCAAAGGAAACTCTTAATTACTAACAAGTAAGCAACGTTAAAATATGATTTATATTGATGATAGGGTTGTTGATCGAACTGGCTTGTTCTGTTTTTAGAAGATATTTTTCAAATGTTTTTAATATCGCCATCGACATCGCAGGTTTGCCCTCGGAGTCATACAAACATATCCGGAGTTTACATATTCACGAGCACCGCCGACTGCCTAATAAGTGTCCATTCTTATTTCTTAATCTGCTTATTTTGCATGATTGTGATAAGGAATTCGATATACAAATGCATAAAAATATACGTCGAGTTACAACTAACCCCAAAGATTTGGTTTAACAGACAGTGAATCATTAAAATTTTCGAGGATCATTTATTTTCGGAATGAAAATTGCTCGTATAGCAGAGTATCTTTTCCAAACGGGAATTTTTTTTCATAAGGAAATGCATGCTTAGCGTGTCCGTGTGACAAAAGATTAGCTTAATACAGTAGTTGTGGTTTGTCAACAGTCTTCAAAAGTGATATCATGCATACTTAGTTCAATTATCACGCTCTAATGAGGATATCGACCGCTGGGTACGGCTTCAGTTAAGTAAATCACAAGATTCTATGGTTACAGAAAAGAATTACCATTTATAGCGTGTTCAAGCAATATCGCCACTTGACCAGTATTTGCTGCGTGTTCCTGAAATAGCCAACCCTTGTCCCGACAGATGAGGAGAGGCGTGGTTATGTTTCATGCACGCGTGACCGCAAGTTTGAGTACTATTTAATGCAGAATAATTTCACTTTCGACAGATCGGGTGTCTGTCTGATCGTTGATCGCTGATCGTCCGCCGTTGCATATCAAAAGGTCGTAACTGCTCCCGATCCGTTCTAATGGAATCTCGACGAGAAAAAGAGAATCTTTCATTTTCGATTGAAAACATTTTACGAGATGATTTTCCACGAGGACAGAAAACGAACATTGTGAATGTACAACAACAAGCCTTGTGTCTTGAAAGATGGTCGGAGCCACCATTTTACGGTTACTATTCGCTTCGTTACAGCCCAATTTTCATGAAATGTCTGCCAAGCGTTTACAGACCCGAGAGAAGATTGCACAGAGTGGATGGAGAAAAAGAGCGAATTTTAACAGAGAAACAGAAAGATATTGAAGAACATCGCTCGAGTTACAAAGATGAAGCTCTTTCTCAAAGTCAAGGTAAGGATAACTAATTTTAAAAAGTTTACTGTAATCGGAGAGCAACCAAAGTACGATAACATATTTAAATCAAAACATTAAATTTTTGAGTCTGAAATAGTCATCGCCGATCGAGTTCATGGACGATTTAATTTTCCAATCAGCTATCTTTCAGCATTTATTTTTAAAAACTTTTTTGTGCAATGACATGTTTACTTAGCAACGCTTCAGGCTGTCTCAGACCGACATTTTGGTTTTCAATTACTTTAATTTGTTTTAACTTGGCGTCGGCGAGAATTTCCTGGATGATAAAAATAAAAGTGAACTTTCTATTGTTCTTTTAAGGATCACTTCTTCTTGCCCAAACATGCGTTCGTTAGGCACGTACAGACAAAAACATTTCCTCGTTCGAACTTTCAACAAATTGCCTCAAAGTTCAATTGAGAAACATTTCTTCCCAAAAAAATCTTGAGACGAAATGCAAGAATTATCCCTGTGTTCATTTCAGGTTTTATAACTATTTTGTTTGCAATTCCTAACATTATGGTATAATGTTGGTTGTCGTTTTAACTCAGATAGGTCCCTATTCGGTAAGGTAACACTAATTGATAAAGCGATGGCGGAAAATATCTCTTTACACCCCAAATACTCAAGACGTTAACATATTGTGTTGTGCAGGTTAAGAGCGAGTAAGAGCTAGGGGTCATGTATTGATGGTTTAGCGAGCTATTTAATCAAGTTGATCGCATTTTTTCCTTTTCAACCGACACGCAAAACAATCTAGAAGCTAGGGCCGATATCTTCTAAAACACGAAACATTATCCGAAGCTGAATGATTGTGTTCGTGAGCTGTGGCGTTACAAATCTAAATCAATTAAAACCAATCGAAACTCATAATTGGGATTTCAGTAAACTAACGATTACAAATTAATATCATATACTTCTTACGTATAACCTCACTTGGATATTATTTCCTTAAAACGCCTCAATAAGTGCAGTCAAAATTCAGCAAAAACGAGACTACGAGTTTTACAGTTTTAACGATCTGCGGTAACTTCCGCTAAAAGTCGTCGATGTATTTGTGCCTTCCTATTCACTTACAGCTTTTGAAGTGAATGCTCGAGTCAACTGGAAGAGCTATTCTTTGTTGTAAATGATTTTAATTTCATGAATACGCTTTTCGTGAGTGTCTAAGTTGTTTTTTCTAATACATGAGAGATGTCCAGTAATGGCGACAACGAATATCTGCGGGCGCTTGTGCGTTGCAATATCAGATCAGTATACGTGACAATCAACTTGTATTTATGTACTTAGATATTGATCTCGCGATACTATTCTGATAAGTTTGCTTAATTCATAATCTTCTCAAAAAAAACTTGATAATTCAAAACAATTTTAATCGACGACAAAGAGATTTCCACCAAGAACACGATGGTAGACGGCTGGTCGTCGACATAATTTGCACCGTAGAATTCGAGGTGAAAATTATATTATTGGGAATATTGCTTTAGATAACAAGAGCTTTAAGTGTTTGTTTGGCTAAATAGTGGCTTTTGAGAATACTTTCATCCGTTTTGTTTAAGCGATCTAAAGTTGTAATACTGTATCTCAGAAACCGCAAGCCGAAAAACATGATTCTACACACCATCAGGATTTGTGAAGATTGATATGAAATTTATCAACGGAATTAAAGGCTACGAATTGCTGTTAGCTAAACAACAGAGGAAATCTCAAGTGCTCACGTGTAAATGCTAAAATGTCTGCTAAAATGGCATCTAGGAAAGAGCCTAAAATCATTCCATATTCTTTTGAAGCCATATTCCTATCCGATGTTATTTGATTCCAGACAACGCAATACAAGAGTCAAGAACAGGTTTCAGCTCGTAAAGGTTCTTCAAATGTTGGACTTTTCTCTGACTGTATCTATGAGCCAAAGGTTGCAAAGTTAACAGTTGCAACTAATTGGAGCTGATCTCTTTCGAACCGATAAAGATGGTTTTAAGATTTTTAACAAAAGGGAATTTTTGTTATTTCGAATGTTAACAAAATACCACTTTCCAAATATGAAAGACTTGCGTTAACACCAGTTGCATGGACTACCTTCAATAATTTACGATCTTTTCGCACTGAATTTGTTTTTATAAATCTGAGGTATTTTACAAATTAGTCAGGTCAATCAAATCAGTTGTTTTTAGTGACTACAATGACAAAAACGTAGTTTTTCAGTTAAACTTTCAAAGTTCATAGAGTTTCTTTTTTAACATCTGTTTAAATATTGATGCCTTTTTTTTTTCAAACTCGTTTGGGACTAAACTTGCATTGACAGCATGATAAGTGCTAATATGAAATATTGTTGTTTTTCCAGATTTCAAAGGATCATATTTGCGTTGTTATTTTTTCTAATGGTTTAAACGTATTATGTCAAAGAACGTTTAGGACTGTTATTGAATCATCCATATATAGCTTGTGTAACTTTTGAAACAGTCAACGAAATGCAATCAAGCACTATTTTGTAAAGTATGAATAGTTTCATGGAATTTGCTTCATTTTGGCAAAAAGGTTCTTTCTTCGTGTTTCGTGATACAATAAATCGAAATTAAGGAATTTACCGCCCGCGATAAGGTATTGAGCTGTCATCGGCATCGTCTATCTCAAGGAAGTGCTTCATATTGAATTAACTAACATTCAAAATCACGGCATAAGGCAAAATGGCTATAAGTACTGTACAGAAAAAAACTCCTCCGAGATTTTTGCTTGCAAAACTACGGACCAATGAAAGGTTATCCAAATCAGCACAGAAACAATTATTACAAGATGTCCTTCATTAGGGTATTTACGTCGCATCGAGCGCCTTCCTCTCAATCAAAAGGCAACATTGATAGCGCATGTAACAGATATATTGAAGTTGCATGTTATAATAAAACCTCACGAAAACATATCACCCACAAAATTGTTGATTGAGCTTGTGGTACAGTATTTCTAACTCAAGAGGTGCGAGCAATTATCTATAAAATGCCAACAAGCTTTTACTAAAGTGAGTTATTTCTTTTTCATCAGACGAAATCACCAGCAAAAAGATGATTAAACAATCTAAAAGAGAAACGTGCTACGATGAAAAAGGCCAGGCCAGCGGTAAACGGAAGCGGCGAAATCGCAGCCATTTCACTCAGCGTCAACTCCAATATCTCGACAAGATATTTTCCCGCCAACAGTATCTTACACGCGACGAGCGCACACTTTTGGCGAGGGGCCTGGAAATGACTGAACTTCAGATCAGAAACTGGTTCCAGAACCGAAGATACCAAAGAAAACATCGCGCCAACGAGAATTCGAAACAAGATGAACCAGATTCGTCAGTGTGTGTAAAAGAAGAAGTTTGATTACACAAATCTGGAGAAACATTCCATCAAATTTCGCTGATGAAGCGAATAATCCCATAATGACGCGACTTACTGCGCCTTTAGATACCTTTCTGAGAAGGAAAAGGTTCTTATTAAGTTGTGATAAAGTAGAAAAAAGCGTGGATCTATTTTCCATAGCCAGTGCACTGTCAAAAAGTCCAACTTTGGTTAGTGTCGATCCAGTTGTAAAGTAGAGAACTAATTGAAAAGCAATATGACTGGTGGAAATCTGTAAATGTGCTAGCTAAACATTGATATTTTTCCATGCAAATTTATACGTTTGAAAAAGGAACTAGTAAATTTGTTGTATAAGGTGCAGTGAAAAAGCGATGGTTTTAGAGTTACTTTATATCAGAAAAATACGATGTAAATAGTTATATCAGGTCCCCTAATAAATACACTTGTACTATATTTTATATAGAAAGAATATAATGATTAAAAATATATTTTAAATATTTGAGTGTCTGCCATGATTTTTGACTCAAAATATGGCTTTTAAGAGATTAGCTATGAATTTTAAAATTAGTAAAAAATTCTTCTTCTTCCCATGGGGATTTTTACCCAACATTGATGTTGCCGCTTATTTGGTCGCTGGCTGACGATGAAAAAACTTCTAATGGTACTTACAGCATAGCTTGCAGAAGACATAATTTATCTGAGGATATTCACCATTTAGTATTTTCTCGTGAATGACTTTTAATCTTCTAAATCTAAAAGAAGAAGCGTTCAGAGCGCGCCATAACTTTAATGGAACAAACACAGATGTTGTGTTCAAGCAAATCGCGGACTTTGCTTCGTCCAACCTTTTTTCCACTTCGAGTTCTGATGTTACTAATTAATTTCCTTTTTTCTCAGACAATCTTCTGAGTAAAGACTTCAAAGTGAATGCTATCTAGTTTTTATCTTTCTTGACAACTCATTGCATTTAGAAAAGATGCGATTAAATTTTTTTATAACAATCCGCTTTAATTGGCAGGTGTTAACTAAAGCTTGGACTTTATCAAACATGACTTCGTAGTCGAAATTTTGACTGGTTCAGCTCACATTCTGTCATAATCTCATCGCATGCGACATGAAACGACGTGCAGATGTATTTGGCATTTAACAAATAATATAAGCACCTGTATAAAATTAATTCGTCGAATGGCACATCCTTTCTGAAAGTTAATCTTAATCATTGCTTGCATTTTAAAGTTTTTAGTAGTTTTACTTAGCTATTCAAATGTCTATTGATTCCAATATTGTAATTATCATGTTCCACTTGACTATTCGTAAAGAATTGATATCAGAACACTTGAAAGCAAGATTCAACCTTGCCCCTTCTCACGAATATCACGCACTTACCATAGAGAGGAAAGTGGAATTGCAGATCCACTCATTTAGCATCACACTCAGAAGAGACCTTTATCTAAACAGAATGATCGTCAAAATATTAAAAGCCCTTTCAGCAATACTTCTTTTTAGTAAGAGTCTCTGTGCTAATTAAGCTAGTGAACACTAAGGATAAAAAGAAACCGCTGCGCTTGAATTGATTGCAATTGGGTTTAATTAAGAATTCGTGTCACGTATAAACTTGGAAAAAAATATAATTGTTGCACACAAAAGTTGTATTTTCTATCGCTTTTTTTTAATTTTTCCCATTTGTTTGTATATCTTACCTTAAGGAAACCCCAATTTATCTACTTCAGCTTTTCTTAGTATGATCACTGGTTGCAATAAATATTAATTACAATTGGAAATTTAAGTCCTATCCGAGTTCTATTTAAATCTTTGCAATACTACGTACGTTTCGAAAATATATTATATTACATAAAATCTCTATATCAAATAAAAGAGGAAATATCATGGAGATTTTATCAAAGCAAACTGTTTTGTAGTTACAAATCAAAAGCGTGGAGATAAACCAAGTTTTAAAATAACTTTTGAAGCGTAAAATTAGCAGCCGTAGATGACACATTCAAAAAGAGTGAAAAATTGCAAAGATTACCCTCAATCATCGTTACGTGTTATTTAAGAGAGTAAAAAGGAGTGCGCGTACTCACATTATAAAAAAAATTGTGTGATTGCGGCGAAAATTAAAGTCACTCTTTTTACGTCATAGCCAATATCTGAACAAGATATTTTTCCCGCCAATAGTGTGGTACACGCGACACCTCAAGCCTACGCTTTTGGTAAAGGAGTAAACGTGGCAACCCTAAAATTCCTTGTATCAATCTTGAGTCGGTGCTGCTGTAAACCAAAATCTCCCCCGTTTTTGAGCAAAAACGAGATTTAAAGGCGATTCGGAAGATTTCACCGTCCGCGTGCATAAAATTGATGAAAACTAATTATTTCGAGATATATTACTTTAACATAAAAAGCGTTTCCGTTTGCTTATATGTGATCGCTTGAATTGGCGTCGGTCAGATGTTTACATCACCTCTCCTCTCTCTTTTAACTCGTGGATTGCATAGAGATCTCTATATGAAATTAAGTTAATATATAAGTGCTGCGGTCTTTTTTATGTCACTGAAGGATCTAGAACATCATTGTTAAGTATTGTTCGAGAGATTACATTCCCATCTCATTTTTGCGTGTACGAGGATCACGTTTATGAGTGTGTGGGCCTATCGCTAATAGACAATCTCATCAATTTAAGATATTAATTAGTGTTTAATTAGCACATCTACTGATTTCCATGGGGTCACGAACCCAAAAAGCGCCTTGTCCCATCTTCATTGGGTCAAACATGAAATCGGTGAAAAAAATAGTTAAGAGAGGGTTAAAATAAAACGGAGCGTTTATGTCCATACAAGAGTCGCATGTTAAATCTCTTGAAGTGTTTAGAAAATACGAGATGAATATGCTGGAAGGTTTAAGAACAAGATATTGGAGACGAAATTATGATACCAGAGCAGAAATTTCCTTTAATCTTTTCAAAACAAAACATTCACGTTTATCTGCAAATGATGCTTGGATTTAAACTTCTGCACAAACTCAACAACACGAAAAACAAACAAGGTAAAATAGTGAAATGACCAAACTTTCTTGAACATAACAATTAGGCTCGTGAAGGGGTTTCTATAAATTCATCATGATTCAGCTGATGTTGTTGTTTTTGACCGCATTCAAGATAAAATCTTTATCAACTTTATAAACATCCATCAAATGAACAAACATTCGGCTTGAAGTAGACATCAACTGGCGCCAAAACGGAAGCCTTCAAGACTCCAGTTGCCTAGCAACGCATCGAGACTGGTCGAGAAATGAACACCCCCCAGGAAGTTCTAGTAAAAATATAAAATTGAAATATCAGCTTTTAAGTTGAGCGTTCACGTATTAAACATACTTATACGTAAACAAAGGAAACAATTCTCAAAAACAAGAAACTTCACTTCGTGTTTTCTCATTGTTCGTTTTTCTGTTCACTCGGAAATTTCTTGCATGCAATCGAACGGCTTCGTTTCCGATAACTCGCTCCAGCTCTGTCTCCATTGAGACAATTTAAGTTTGCTCATATATGAAGTGTGGGGCTATGATCCATACGCCCAGATCTGGATGTTTTGAAAGCAAGATGTCCCTAATCGCTCAGAAATTTGCGCCAAATAAACTCTGTCGGTGGGACATAGCTTGTTGCACGTTTGAATTTCTCATATGAAAAGAGTCTGGGCTCTATTTTCTCACCAAAACACACATTGAACACTGAGACCTTCACACAAGTTATTGAGTCTTCATATCAAGTTATTGGGTTCACATTTCAAGTAAAGAAGTATGATATACTGTAAAGAAAAAGCTGTAATTGCTGTAAATTTCGTGTGAAATCCTTCTCGAACTCCATAGTTTATAGGATCTTCCTTCAGCCCGTGTCGAAACCATATAAGTTAGCTACTTTTGTGATCTGTTAGGAAGCCGTACAATCACAAAGATACCGCTAGTTTACATATGTAAAAACCACTCGACAGAATAAGTACCCTCTTTTTCCCCCTACCTAGGAGACAACAAAAGAGGAAAAAAATGTAATTTCACTAACCACTTCCTCTCTCTAAATGACCCAAAAATTCTTTGTTCAATATGACCACTAAATTACCTCTCAGTTTTGGACAGCAAAATCGAACTAACTTTCCAAAATAGCTGTTGTTTCAACCCTTGTTTTATCTGTCAGTTCACAGCTAAAACAAATATTTACACTAAAGTTCAAAAACGGCTGAAACCATAAAGAAACAAGTTCAATTTAATGCCGTTCAGGTGTCGTTTGCCATAAAAGTCAACCAGTCTAACGATTCAACTTTGAGTGACCAGAGAGAGGCGACTCTTCTATAATGAGGATTGATCCTCAATTGGTCCTCAAAACTTTCGAAACTTTACTGCATCTCTTGTAGTCTGACGATATTCCGAATTCAATTTTTTCCGGGATTGGTGAGTAAGATTATCCAAAGGCGTTGCGACAGGAAGCATCTTCGTTGATGAAGGAGATCTCTTACCCTTTTTTTGTCTTGTCGATATTTCAAAGTTAAGCAGTTTACAGTCCCAATATCTCCTGTTTTCTTTTGTCTGAGCCCAAATACTTTCCAACACCGTGCGTAGCCCGTGAGACAGCACCCTTGAAATCTCCAGGTGCTTAATAGCTCTTTAAAAAGATCTCGTAATTACTAAACAGGGAAACTATGAGGAGAAGGCGGTAACACTTTGTTCCCACACCAAATCAAAAATATCATACACTCTCGGTTTCTAGTGAGAGATGGTAAAAGTTTTAAATTTCTTCACTGTTTTGTTTTCAATCACTTATGAACGACGTACATGTACAGAAGTTAAGTTTAATTTCCATGCGTTGATATGAAAAACAGTAATATTTCATTTAATAAAACAAGAGGTACAACATAACGAAAGAAAGATAGTTTATAAGTAATAAGTGGCTTAAAAAAATCTTTAAGAGCTTTTGAGTACAATTATTTCTAAATATAAATACACTTAAACCCACCTACGTTAATATAGCAGCAACAGCTTAGATTCTCTCCTTTAAGTGCAGCACCAAAAATGGTTCTTTTACGTGTATATCAAGGAAGGTACTCAAACGGTCTTTTCTTCAGAAACACGCTTATTCAAATTCAAAGTAAAACACGCAAACTCCGCAACAGCCACTGTGGAACAAAAAAATAGTTCTTTTGAATTTTTACAAATTTTCTTTGCTTACTTAAACCAGCTTTCATTTCAGGAGGTGCTGAAATGATGATGAAAAAAAAAACCGTCGATTCCTCGGTGCCAAAGCAAAGACATAAGTGTAGTATACTATACAGGTATATGGAATCACCTCATAAATAATTGAAGTCTGCCTTCGTTATTTCTTTTGAGAATACAAAAATTAAATAGTGGTCAGGCCGGAATAGATGTAGTATAAACAAGGATAGAAAAAGTTTCAATTTGTTCAAAAAGTGTAGAATTTATTCCCAATAAAATAAAACAAAAAATTACTTTTTCCTGGGTGACCAAGTTATTTTGAGAAATGTCCCACCTTCGAGCACTTGTTGTTTCCGATAATCTCCGCACGTAAAAAAAATTGAAAGAAATATATTAAAGTGAAAGTATTCCTGACGTGACCTTTTAAAGATTCGATTTTTTTTATTCAATTCGTTCTTAAAATAGACAACCGATTGTGGATAACCTTTTTTTGTGGTTTTATGCATTAAGGATAATTTGAATTGTTAACCACAATCTCACCGGTGTTTGATGTACTTTGAGACAGACCAAGGAACCAAATATGTTTGCTTGAAATATCAGCTTTAATTTTTCAATGTCACCATTAAAATCTACTTTGACAATAACTTAATTACATTGAAGTTTTTAACAATCGATCGATTTAAATTTCTTTTAAAATAAAACTTTTATGAGAAATCCCATTTTTTCTGTACGAATATGATATCTTTTTGTATTCAAAAGGTTTTTTGCAAGAATACATCAATACTATATATATATTTACCTCTCTGCAATTTCTTTGCTATTAATAACTTTCATTAGGAATAAGTACCTATGCATATATAAACTCCACTGGTTTGAAATAAGCTTTAGTTCGGTAGAACTGCCGGTGAAATCAGGAAAACAGAGTAACTTAAAAATGTGTTCAAATCAGTATGAATCTATCATTAGTAGACATGGAATTCACCGTTTTTACGGTTCTGACTTTTAAACCCTTCGTAATTGTATCAATATGTTGGAGTTTCTTAAGAAAAATCGTCCATAAATTAATTTGATACAATATTTAAGTCAGTAAACTCAATATGTACATAAAAATACAAGTCTTCTTTTTAAAACAGAAGTATTATATTATATCAGAAAACATAAATATTTATTGCAGACTTCTTTTTGTTTTCTTTTGGCTTAAAAATTCATTTTATGTAGAGGTGAATTTCTACTATTATTTTCATGCAACAACAGACATTTCTGGTTCAACTCGCTTCTTGTCTTCTTGCCCTCGATGTCTTTTCTGGTATCTTCGGTTCTGAAACCAGTTTCTGATCTGAAGTTCAGTCATTTCCAGGCCCCTCGCCAATAGCGTGCGCTCGTCGCGTGTAAGATACTGTTGGCGGGAAAAAATCTTGTCGAGATATTGGAGTTGACGCTGAGTGAAATGGCTGCGATTTCTTCTTTTTCGCGGTTTTACTCCTTTTTCGATGCACTTTTCCGACTTCGATCTTTGACTAGAGTCCTTATCGCATCCTTCATCTGAGGAAAGAGAGATTTTAAAATGCTAAGCCAGTAATTCAATTTTACTTTAACAAAAATAGTATTTTGTCCAAACTGATGAACTTAATGAAATTATTGTCGTGTTAGTCTGTTTAACCTGATTCAATATAACGCACTCATTCTTAAATAGTGTTGATCGACGATATAAATTCTGCGATTTGATTCCAGCTTATGATAGCTGCTAGCGTTCGAGAACCATGAAGTGTTGCTTGATAGAGCTTCCGCAATACAACTCTTTCACTTACACGCAAAACCAAATTGTCTCCTTCCTCACTCTTAATACCGTACTACGACAGCGAAATTAGACAGTTTCAAAAATCTCTTAACAAGTTATGCAAACACCTTAAGAAATATCTCATGTTTTATCTTACAATGTCATGCGAGTGTCATGCGAAAATTAAACAGACCATTTAGAAACAAATGTTGTTTTTCATTTCTATATTTCATTGTCTGACTGCTTGCTTAATCAGGAATGTGATTATCTTTTCTAAGATCTTAAAAGAAATACATAATTTTGGGATGTTTTCCAAAACTAATTTCACTCCTTTAATCTTGTTTTTTTTCATTTTTGTCTTTTTTTTGTCTTCCACTGATCTTCCCGGATGTATATCTTGGCATAGAAACGCCCAGAAAAAATATTTTTCAAGGATGCACGTTTTCCAAGTATGTTATTAATGTGTTAATGCACGGATAAGCGAAAACCAGCTAAAATAACGATCTTACGGGCCACTATATGACTAAACAAACACTCAAACCTCTTTTAAATCAAGCGGATATTTATAATGAAAAAAAAACCCCACGCCCAAATTACTTTACCTCCGCTAACTGACGTCAACAGAATTCATGGGTCTTTAGTTGAAGAACCAATTCACTCACGAATTGTTTTTAAAGATAGCTAAATACTCCTCGGTTACTTGGCAATCATGAAAGTTAACGCTTAGTGAAAGATTCTTCATACGGATTGGTGAGATTGCAGTAAAGCTAAGTTAAATCAGTGGAGGATCAATATTGGTCCACGATATACTGGTTTGTTTTTCGGTAAGTCACGGTATTCTAACAAATATTGCCGGGCGGATGTTCAAAGTCGCCAACGCTGTTGATTTCGTCGTCAAACCCCGGCACAAAAACAATTCAACCGTCACGAAACGAAAATATGCAGCAAAAGTGAAATAGGATATTGGCCACAAAAAAAGGATTCACTCGGTTGACCGTTGAATAATTGCATAGTGCATCCGTTTCTAACCCTTCTTTGTCGAAAACGAATTTCTTGTATTTACAACACTCGACAACAAGAAATGTTCTTTCTGTTTCGACCCAAAGAAAAATTAGCCCCAAATTATTTTTGTCTGTAAAACATTATACATTTTATTATTTCCTTCTCAAACTCTTCGTTATTGTGGCATTAAAAAAACTGAAGAGGGAAATTTCCCACAACCTCCTCTAAAATAAGTTTAAGTGTCACTAGGTACAAGAAAAAAGGTGAGAAGTGAAAAGTTTTGATGTTAGGATCCACTTGAAAAAATGAACTTTACTTTCGAATTTATTCATCCGGTAAGAAAAACATGAAATTACTTTAGTAATTACCCGTCAAATCATATTTGAAGCTTCCTTATTTTGCTGGTAACTCAAAAACCCACATAACAGAACATTAAATACAGGGTTTGACAAGATAAAAGAAAGACGAATTTAATTAAACTTGAGTTTTCCAATGCTTCATCTCTGATGGGATTTTTGGGACTTTGGAACTTTCCTCTTAAAGGTCAAATTCCACGCTTATAAACGGCAACCCTCTGATTCGGCTGAGAGAGGAAAGTCCCTTTTTGGTCCCCATACGAATGAAAACATTTTGGAATTACCCCAAATTTGTAGCAAATTCAATTGCCATTAAGGTTTCCGCGCAATGCCATAAAAAAATAAACGATTTCAGCATTACTTTTTAAAGAAAATACTTGTCAAACCAGTTGTGTATTGCCTTTTGAAAATAGTGTAAAATCTCCTGGAATTTGTAGCAATCGAGGTAAAGTTATAATCGTTTGATAAAAAAGCTACCATATTTCGTGACGGTTTTTTGCCGAAGTATGAAATATCACCTTTCTTTAAATTCGTGGATGTAATTTCACTCAAACAGAGTGAAATCTCTTACCATTTTCCTGGAGAATCACCTCTTCATTATAACTCATGCCATCTTCCTCAAACGATTTCTTCTCCTCTTTTAAAGAAAGATTTTCTGCCCCTGCATTCGGTCTCTGTAATCTGTCCTCCACTCCGTGAATATTGGGTAAACATTTCACAAAGCCGGGGCTTAGGAAACGAACCGAACAGCACTGATAAACAGACGAACTTGGCCAGCGTTCGAAATCTAACTCGCCCTGCGTGGGAAAGTAAACAAAATTCGGCCTTCGCTGATGGGCGAAATCCTCGCGCAAGATATTTTCAATTGAAAACGAGAGACTCATTTTTTGTCCGTGAAAATCCATTTTTGATGAGAGCAGTTTGTGACCTGAAGTTGTGTAAACTGTGATCACAATGAAAGTGGTTTCATTATATAGACAACTCGTGTGCATGTTATTGTCATTATTATTTAAAGAAACCGCCTCTCTACAATATGTCGTCGGGGCATGTTATTTCAAGTATTGCTATTTTCAGAACACCGGTAGATATTGCCTCGCTATTTACGCCAACGATACACCTCACATAGTATCAATAAATCTTGAAAATAGCATCGCTAAAAACCAGACACACGAAATCAGAATTCAACTTACTTTTTTGTACAAGGAATTTTAAATGGGCTTAGCTCGACGCCGGAATAAATGTCGCAGATATTTGTGGGTCTAGCTTGTGTCAAACAAAATACTATTTATAAGTTGTTGTTTTAACCCGCGTTCAAACTGTTTCCGTGATTGTAAGTTATGTGCTTAGAAGAGCTGAGTGCAAAGTAACCACAAATACTAAGAACCGCAATGAGCCAGAATATTAACGACGTGTTTTTGGTATTCCAGTAAGCTTTGCGATCACGTAAGGCTAACGGAGTCTTTTGGCAAATAAATTGGGTTTTAAGGAATCGGCTCCTTGCATTCATTAATTAGCTTTTCCTAATTATATTAAGCAAAAATTTGATCTGTTGTGTTATGGTATTTTCTAGAGTCTGACAAACTTGCCAACCAGTTGGTATTAAAACCGGATTATTTCTGCAGCCGTGTTCGTGAAAGTTCCTCAATGTTACACAAACCAGACTTATTTCAAGTTCTTCCCACTTATATCCGTTTTACCTCCTATAAGAAAAAGTTATTTTAATTCAATTTGTTTAGCCCGGAGTTTTAATCGTTCTGCTTAAGGAAGCGCGTAAATTGACTGTTGTTGGAAACTTTGTTCCATTTACGGCCTGTCAAGATGTTGATTCAAGTGGAATTTTAATAATTAAGAGATGTTTTAATCCATAAATATTTGTAATTACTTTGCGCTTAAATAAAGATTCTATTCATTTTTCCAATGACTTAATACATAAGTTTAGTCAACGTGTTATATTCATTCCTAAATTATACAGTTCCTTATTGGTCCCCTATCCGCAATGATAATTGTCTCAGAATCGCCCCTGGCTGGGATAATTCAGCTGTAATACTTGAACTATTAATGACAGAAACAATCAAAGCTTCCTTCTCTGTAAACAAATGATCCGCAACTGAAAAAAAAAAACATTTTCCTTCATTGAGTTATGATAGACATCACTTAATTAGCAAAAATGTTATCTCTGAAAAGTTTTCTCCTGAACAAAACCAGCCTTTTTTCAAGTCACTCGTTAAATATAATTAAAATGGCGCCAAAAACGGACACGAAAAAATGTTAGCTATCAAATCCAACATCAGGTTTAATGTTCTTATCACCACAAACATTAATTATTTGATATATATAAGAACACTGTTTACATTATAGTTTTTAAAGATTATACCAAATCCCCGATGGCTGGCCAAGTTGCTCTTCAAACGACTCGGAAATTGTATATCAACGTTTCCCGTGAAGGGATAGTTTCTTCAATTTGGAAAATTTATCTTGTTTTATAAACTTTAAACAATCTACGATGGCAAAATTTGCTATCTTTCTTCTATTTGTGTGCTCAAATGATCCTATCGACATTTCTGATCCTTGCAGTGTGCGGCATGAACCTAGTGACGGCCGAACACACCACTGAGTCTAAGTCGTAGCCGAGCACTAGAGCGCAAAAACCGGAAAGCCCTTAGGCTCGATTCCGCTCAAAGAGCTCAAATATTTCCGTCGTTCCACTCTTGTTATAACACCTTCTACTATTTCTCAACCAAGTTCAGAAGAACTTTGTCATCTTTATTATCCTTAAAGCAACGTATTTCTTCCTCGCCTTTCCTAAAAAGGCGCACATTTTCTTACGTAAGTGAGAAAGTTTACCACTATGGTGGAGAACGTCCGGCGAACCGCGATTTTTCCTTCATCCACAGACTTAGAGTTCAGAACGACATTATTGTGAAGAAATAATAAATAGGACCATATGGAAAAGCTGCTCAAGCATTTTCATTTCGATGGCCACACAATAAGATTTTAGCCTGACTGAAAAGCTAACATTAAATGAAAAATACCTTACAAGAACGATGCTAAGTCGCTTGGGGGTTTTATCCATAGACTGAACAATAAGAACCATCACATACAGCAGAATATTTAGGGAGAGCCTTTAACATAACTGCTGAGAAGCTTTCATTCGTAAAGTTACACTGGACTGAATAGTAAGGACCACCACATAGAGCAGAATATACTATATTCCAGTAGGGAAAACCATTGCCGAGATGCTTTCATTCGTAAAGTTACACACTAGAGTTACATCTATAGACTGAAAAGTAAGAACCACCCGTATATAACATATAGAGCATAATATATAGGGAGAACCATTTGACATTACTGCTGAGAAGCTTTCATTCGTAAAGACTAGAGTTCCATCTTTGGACTGAACAGTAAGAACCACCACCGTGACATACAGCAGAATGTATAAGAAGAACCCCTAACGTAACCGCTGAGAAGCTTTCATTCGTAAATTTACACACTAGAGTTTTATTTTAGATTCATTAACAGTAAGAACCACAATTTACAGCAGAACAAAGAGCGCCATCTAACATAACTGCCAGTGGCTTTCATAGTAAGGTCTTAAAACTGAGAAGCTAAAGTCATTTTAAACAGAATGGTTAACAGTCTCTCATCAAAGTCTGACGAAGGACTATCGCCCAAAACTACAGCTTTAGATTCCTAGAAACTCTCTACTATGGCCAATTTACGTTTATTTAGCAACTCAGCTGATGAAACCAAATTATCTTCAAACCGACGCAGCACCACTGTGACAGTTTGTTTAGAAACTTACCCCTTTTTTTCGTTTGGATAATCACATAGCGGTAGTTTTCCCATTAAAAGTTAGAACTGATTTTCACAACGTAACAACCAGTGCTACATGAAAATAGTTTTCTGTAGCTTAGAGACCTTAAATGGTCTCACACTAGGCTTCTTTCGTAAAATTTATAACAAAAATGCAAAGAATTATTATATAAAAATAGCTATTGATCCGCACAAAACTTTCATGATATCAATTCTAGCTTTTTACCGCATACTTAACATACTTAAAAAAGTGATGACCGATTACATATTTTTGAACTGACTAGTGTTCCTTATAGCAGCAATATATGATTTTTACCAGGCAACCATTAAGAATTCTTAACGTATGTTTAACCAGCTGCTTTAGAGTTTACATGGGCCAGTACTTGATTCGTTTTAAATTTATCAAAGTTGAAATACCATGCATTGTCCATGATGAAAAGAATGTGGGGGGAACAATACGAAGATCTGTCTTGTCCGTCAAAATGATCAAATGATCATTTTATAAGCTGTAATGTTAACAGCAGTGTTTGTTCCGGACTTCGTCAACTTTCTCATTAACTTTTCTCTGCTTTTATCAGAGCAGCATTGTCAAAAGTCATTAAAAATTATCAACAGATCTGACGCTCACATCGTGCAATAAACGCCTCCGCCAGTTACTACTTTTATTAAGTGAACATACTTAAAATACTTCAGACAATTGCTCTAAGTTATGCGAGGTATGTCTGTTCTGAATTCTCGAAAAAGGACGTCTTGGCAGTCGGTTCGCTTCCGTCCTGGATTAAATGAAAGTAAAAAAGACACTGGTGACATTTTTTTCTCTAAAAATCATTGTTATTCATTTATTTTCCAAACAAGATTAAAATTAATCAGGGATAAGATAAATTGTACCAAAGCTAGTTTACAATATCTTAAACATGCTAAAAATTGAGACATTTGTCCAAAACATTTATCAGTCGAGATAACACAATGAATCTCTTAATAATATTTCTTTTCATATACGCCGTCTGTTTACTGAATCGCGTTACGATTGAGTAATGGGCTGGATTGAATAAAAAATTTTAAGTCTCTGTGGTAAAGGGATTGATTTGTAGTCGAGAAGGTTACCCCGATGAATGGTTATTTTTTAAACGTAAACTAGGTCGTGGGAAAGATCGTGATCAAATAAAATTAATTGTGTTTACCAAAATTAGATGCTATGTACCCTGATACAAGACCACTATAACATCTATATTCAGTGTATCATTAAGGCTTTCCAGTTTTTATCATTGTAGAACTTAAAAATCTTTCAGTTGGAGTTCGTATAATGAGTGAAATTGGCAGCTGAATTATAAATCGAAGAAGATAAGCTCCGTTTTGCAGCTCCTTCGCCTTTCATGGAATGTTTTACCCAACCTTGAAACGTTTTTTCCGAATAAGTCTAGCTTGAATTCAATTTCCACACCGATCACACAAGCGTGAATGTCAAATACGTTATCATGGCAACAATATAGAAAATTACTCTAAATGCTTGACATGAGAGTTAAGAAGATCGTAATTAAATCAGTGTTATCAGTGACTCAACTTGGCAGTAGGCCAGTATAAGTAAATGTTCGAGTTGCAGATATCTGTTGTGCCAATCTGAGCGAAAACAACATGCATGCATGCATGGATACAGTGAAATTCTAGCCACTTCATAGAGTGTTCCCGAACGCTCTTGAGAAACCTCATCGTCGACAAAAACGATTTCAACTACCTGAGGGCTTCTTGTTTTCCCTTTGAATTTCAAAGATCACCCAACCCCCTGCACCTCCCCCTCCCCCCTCTCAACCTCCCCTCCCCCTCCCCCCTCTCCACCTCCCCTCCCCCTCCCCCCCTCTCCACCTCCCCTCCCCCTCCCCCTCTCTCCACCTCCCCTCCCCCTCCCCCTCTCTCCACCCCTATTACCCGTTAAGGCTTAGGCAACCCATGAACTGTACCCTGTACCTCCGTAGTGTTGGCTTCGTACTGTTTCAGGTTGAATGGGAGAGGATAGGAAAGTAAGGGTTGAGAAAGGGCAGGGGAAGGGAGGGGGTGTGAGACAAGGGAGGCCGGAGAGGGGGAGGGCTGAGCAACTCATTGTCAAAACATTTCCCTCTG